TTTAATTTTATTTTTGAATACCCATTTGTTTTCATTGGGCTCCCTAAAATTAAAGAAATCATTTCTGTCAATTGTTTAACATGAAATAATTTTGAAGGCTTGATGAATCTTTATGTTGGACTTCTGGTAAGATAAGCTCAAAGTTCGTTTATGGCATCTACATGTATCAAATATATTCATGCACTGGGTAATGGTGTTAAGTTGGAACAGCGTGTTTGGTTCAGCTTAAAAGTAACTTTTGAACTCTCAAAACACGTGCCAGATATTATTGCATTTCGTTGGCTCATTCTCACATGGATAAATGGGGAAGGGAGCCTTGCAATTGACATACGCTCCTCCATTCCTCCCCTAATCTTCTAATCTATGGATATGATCCAGACAATTGGGAGACCATGACGGAGTATGGAACTCTCTCTAGAGCTCGTTCAAGTTAGGCATTGGCCTTGCTACTAATTTCTTGTTAACATTGAAATTTTTGTCGTCTGTGCGTTTACGTTTGATAGGAGTAAAAATCGTGACCTTAAAACTGGGAAGAGAATGAAAGAAATGATGAATCAAGATAGCTTAAGAATTTGTTTGGCAAAGTTAATTTCAAATTCATTTTTAATTACGTACTCTCAATAAAAAAAATTTGCATGTCCACATTTTTCACTTGCAATAATCTCTCAAATAAACACTGAATAAGTGATATATTGAGTAAATAAAAACCAGGAGTATTGAATATTTAGCGAGGAGTTACTAGTCACTGAACTTTATTTATGTTCAATGTTTATCACTAAACTAACATTGTTTCAAGTTGACCATTGAACAAGATATTTATTCAAAGGATAAAGATACAAATACAAGGCCACGAGGTGGGGGACAAGGGCCCTTTACTCTTATTCAAATAGATCATGTTTCGTTACTTTGGCTAATAGAAAAGCTAAAGTAACAGTCCAGTTGACACAAAACTAAATTCCTATAGTGCATTTTCTGTTAATCAAATTGACAACTTTGGACAAAGTGACCAACATGGAATAAGGTTTAAGCTCATCTACTAATTCGGAAAAGAATGAAATTTAGAGATTAATATAGCAAATAGTTAGAAATTTAGAGACCACCAGCGTATTTAAACCTCAGCTTTCTTTTTCATTAGAGAAAACACAACATTAGTGCTGCCTTGAAAATTATATATTTATTGTTATAACATGCACAATCTAGACCGTATTCGAGACCCAATGTGAAGATCCTTATAAAGTTACATGTACAAAAATGAACAAAGACGAAGCATAAATTGGAAATCAAGAAAGACAAGCCTGTACAAAAGACATGAACAATTTGATAGGAGATTTTCTAACTCGTTTGTTTTCAGGTTGAGGTGAAAAGAAGACAGGAGGTTCTTTATTTCCGTTGCTTTTTGACTGGATTAACTTGTTTGCGCTCAACCTGCCATATCGAAGACATCCATGTCCAGAAGAAAATGTCATCATTTTGACAAAGAAGGAATTTTCAATTTATCCTGAAATATAAACATTATCCTCTAACATGATAAAGTAGGAAATTCTAAAGCAAATAAGTTTCTAAATTACAAGCATCACTGTTGTTCTAAATAATGGATACTGGTCTATATATTTGGCAAAATTTACATGCTATTTGTAATCATCATTTTAGGAATTTAGAAAGAGAAGATAACTGACTTGATTATATAGGAAAACACAGAAATATTAACTGGGGAATCTAAAGGGAAGAGCACATACAACTTGGCTCTTTCTACTGCTACTAATGAAGAGTGTTTGGCATCAATAAACCTTTATGGCAACTCTTGAGCTAAAACAATGCTACAAGTATCATCTAGTCAGTCGGTCGTCTAGAAGCCCAAACTTGGTCAAACGAGCAACGGGCTACTCTTTTATTTTCTTAGACATTAATGAAGCATGAGCATGCATGTTTTGCCAAGCTTAAAAATAAGTAAAAGTTGCTCTTTAAACTTTTTTTTTTTGCCAAAAATAATTTCAAAAAAACAAGTTCGTTGGCTCATTCTCACATGGATAAATGGGGAAGGGAGCCTTGCAATTGACATACGCTCCTCCATTCCTCCCCTAATCTTCTAATCTATGGATATGATCCAGACAATTGGGAGACCATGACGGAGTATGGAACTCTCTCTAGAGCTCGTTCAAGTTAGGCATTGGCCTTGCTACTAATTTCTTGTTAACATTGAAATTTTTGTCGTCTGTGCGTTTACGTTTGATAGGAGTAAAAATCGTGACCTTAAAACTGGGAAGAGAATGAAAGAAATGATGAATCAAGATAGCTTAAGAATTTGTTTGGCAAAGTTAATTTCAAATTCATTTTTAATTACGTACTCTCAATAAAAAAAATTTGCATGTCCACATTTTTCACTTGCAATAATCTCTCAAATAAACACTGAATAAGTGATATATTGAGTAAATAAAAACCAGGAGTATTGAATATTTAGCGAGGAGTTACTAGTCACTGAACTTTATTTATGTTCAATGTTTATCACTAAACTAACATTGTTTCAAGTTGACCATTGAACAAGATATTTATTCAAAGGATAAAGATACAAATACAAGGCCACGAGGTGGGGGACAAGGGCCCTTTACTCTTATTCAAATAGATCATGTTTCGTTACTTTGGCTAATAGAAAAGCTAAAGTAACAGTCCAGTTGACACAAAACTAAATTCCTATAGTGCATTTTCTGTTAATCAAATTGACAACTTTGGACAAAGTGACCAACATGGAATAAGGTTTAAGCTCATCTACTAATTCGGAAAAGAATGAAATTTAGAGATTAATATAGCAAATAGTTAGAAATTTAGAGACCACCAGCGTATTTAAACCTCAGCTTTCTTTTTCATTAGAGAAAACACAACATTAGTGCTGCCTTGAAAATTATATATTTATTGTTATAACATGCACAATCTAGACCGTATTCGAGACCCAATGTGAAGATCCTTATAAAGTTACATGTACAAAAATGAACAAAGACGAAGCATAAATTGGGAATCAAGAAAGACAACCCTGTACAAAAGACATGAACAATTTGATAGGAGATTTTCTAACTCATTTGTTTTCAGGTTGAGGTGAAAAGAAGACAGGAGGTTCTTTATTTCCGTTGCTTTTTGACTGGATTAACTTGTTTGCGCTCAACCTGCCATATCGAAGACATCCATGTCCAGAAGAAAATGTCATCATTTTGACAAAGAAGGAATTTTCAATTTATCCTGAAATATAAACATTATCCTCTAACATGATAAAGTAGGAAATTCTAAAGCAAATAAGTTTCTAAATTACAAGCATCACTGTTGTTCTAAATAATGGATACTGGTCTATATATTTGGCAAAATTTACATGCTATTTGTAATCATCATTTTAGGAATTTAGAAAGAGAAGATAACTGACTTGATTATATAGGAAAACACAGAAATATTAACTGGGGAATCTAAAGGGAAGAGCACATACAACTTGGTTCTTTCTACTGCTACTAATGAAGAGTGTTTGGCATCAATAAACCTTTATAGCAACTCTTGAGCCAAAACAATGCTACAAGTATCATCTAGTCAGTCAGTCGTCTAGAAGCCCAAACTTGGTCAAACGAGCAACGGGCTACTCTTTTATTTTCTTAGACATTAAGGAAGCATGAACATGCATGTTTTGCCAAGCTTAAAAATAAGTAAAAGTTGCTCTTTAAACTTTTTTTTTTTGCCAAAAATAACTTCAGAAAAACAAGTTTTTTTTTTTTTTTACTCGCAAAACTTACTTTCTAGAAAAGTAACTTTTTAAAGCTTATCCAAGCATGCTTGTATGCAATTTTGTGGTTGCAATGCATAAAAACATAGTCACAAATAGAGTACCAGCAGGCCATATTGGATTGCATTCTGGACAATATAGTACCAGGCATCAGTAAATCTTAGGTACCAAACCAGATTTATGGCGATGGCCGATGGATAAAACAAAGCGTTTCAAAACATAAACTCATACGCAATGATATACAATTTAAAAACAGTAATAATAGTAACAAAGGATCATTAATTCAACAACACAAGCATCAAAAGTGAAAGCACAGTGGGATTGAAAATTAAAGAAACAATAAAACAAAAGATCAACTAGAGTTCAGACAAAAGCATACACCAACCATATGGTAATAAAATCACATATGGTTGGGAAATATAAATAAAATTAAATAAATTATATGTGGCCAGTATTTAAGAGGTGTAAAAATGGCACATTATATATTATATTAAAAAAAAAGAAAAAACAAAGAGGTTTGTATCTTCTGGTGTCTGAATTGTCAAATACATCCATGATTGCTCCTAGTATTCGGCACCAACAATAATTGATCAGTAATGTACTCAAATATCAAGGTACTGAACTGGTATGGAACAAGACATACCACAGTTGGTCTAATATAAAATTTATAACACCATAAAAAAATATACATAAGATAACAATGGGAGAAGATTTGGTAAAAATAGAATAGAGAATGCAAGATAGTCTTGTAATGACAATAATGACTACCTACCTACCTTCCTTTAAGCCTTTTATTTGATTTCTATTTTCATTTTCTATACAAGTGCTGCTTCACGAATGGACCAGGCTTATCGATGCATTTGAAAAATGTGATTAACAGCAATTCTTTTTCTATAAAAGTGCTGCCTCGCGAATGGACCAGGCTATCCTCCAGGCTTATCGATGCATTTGAAAAACGTGAATAATAGTAAAGCAGAAAATAGGACTTGGAGGTCCTATGAAAATTCCTACAACATAGGCAAGGCAATGGGCTGACCATTCTAATTGAAAATGAACCTTGAAAAGAAGTTCTGAAACAGCGCATTCGTGTCAATACTGCCAATCTACAATCCTAAGAATCATAAACTGGAAGAGGACCTAGATTATCTTAAAATTCAACATGAAAAAGCATAACCAATGCTACGATAGTATTGAACAAATTGTGTAATTTTAGAATTTTATATTACTGAAAGAACCACGAGAACATCACTTAAGATCCTTATTCATAGATGCTTTATCAAACTTATCTGCTTCTTTGATTAAAAAGGGACAATAATTGTAGTGAAAAATACTTACTGCATTTGACAGCTGCTCACGGATGTATGCCATTGACCTCAACATGGCACCTAAAGTATCCCTAGAAACTTGAAATTTCACCTCTGATTCTCCTGAAGTTGTTTCAGTATCTTGAAGCTGAAGATAAAGAGAATAGAAAATACTCAGGATTAGCAGGTTGGTCAATAACATTAATACACGTAAAATGATGTGATAGTTTTATCTAGAATCAACAGGTGCAAGAAGATGGCATATTTCCAATGTTCACACGAATTATGTATAACTAATATCATTTTACAGTGATATGTCACTCTTACTAAAAATCGACCACAGTAACTACACAAATAAAGATGACAAGCACCAATATGTGTAGCAACTTGGATGAGATAAACCTATGTAAAATATTCTCGATATACGAGAAAAAACTCATTGTCCCATACCGGAGGAACAATTAATGCCAAGTCCATTTACCAGGGATGGATCACAACTTAATGAATAAAATTAGAGAGGCCCTTTAGTGCAAAGAACTCCTAGCAAAAGATATTATTTATCAGGAGTTACTACAATTTATAGAAGTTTGAATAACTTGAGAATTACACACCTTCAGATTGATGACCGCAACCTTGTTGGCCGGGGTAGAAAGCTGTTCGCTGATGTAGGCCATGGACCTCAACATGGGCTCTAATGTGACTCTAGAGAGTGAAAATTTAACCTCTGATTCTCCAGCTGTCCTACTGTAATCTTGCAACTGCAAGAAGCAAACTTACTCGTAAATACCAAGATTTCAAGTAAATTTTTAAATCCAGATATTGAGAATACGTGACACCTATTATTTGACTTGACGTCTGCATATCCAGCAATGACGTGACTGCTCAGACAACAATATAACAAGTAAACACAATGTGATGATTTCTTAAGGTTTTATACCTTCAAAAAAATTAATATCTTAGCCATTTATTATTCCAGCTTAAACTGCTAAATGACACGCTAATTCTGAGACATTTGCATTTTACTAAGAATACAAGAAGAGTGAGTACAAGATTAAACAAAAAAGTAGAAAGAGTATCAAACAATCAAATGATCAAAACCAAATCACATACCATTCAGTCTGGAGCAAAAAAATCAAATGATTTGGATCCCATACCTTGAGGTTAATTACAGCTACTCTATTTGCGGGCATTGCATTTTTATTCTCCATCACCCAAGTCATCGACTTAAGACAAGGAAGAGTCACCTGCGAATAAGCGTAAAGAAAAACTAATGTCAAGATTATCAGCCACTCACTAACAATTCTTTACTAACAGAAACGGCTAAAGATGAAGAAGTTCCCTACCATATTATCAGCATGATTATCATCTTGGTGAAGAGAGAGGGGAGACATATGTGGGAAATTCCTATTGGACACTGGTTGACCAGCAACATCAGCATCATTAAGATTGAAGCGACGTATCATTTCATCTTGTCGTGGCCATAATAATGGGGTCATCTCTGGAGCTGATGTGGATGTCCTCCAATCATCATAACCAACTCCACTAGCCAGGGAGCTCGGAGGTGCAACTTTTGCTACACTTCTCTTCACAGCAGCAGCCTTCTTCACCCCTTCTCTAAGAGCACCAAGAGCCACATTGTATGTCTCCGAAGCTATAGCTCCTTCCTCAGCGAATCTGATTGCTTCTTTGCATAAATTTTTGTAACGTATAGTCAGAGTCTCGTTACCTTGTAGTTCACCACGCTCTTCGGATACAGCAGCATTTTTTGCATTTCTAGTCCATCGCTTTAATATATAATGGGATGGCAGTGTAAGGACATTCGTTACAGTAAATACTGTCAATATATGCCTACAAAGGACACCAGAATATTCAAACATCTGACAGCTACAATTTGCTTTCGTTTCTGGAACATTCAACAAGACAATGTAGGCTTTGCTGTCATCCTCAAATTTCGCAACCCTGAATGTACTATTAGCCCCATTTCCATCAATCCTATTTGCAGTATACACAAAAGTCTCCACTAATTCTTCTTGAAACTTTGAAAAGATTCTCTTTGTATACAGATTTGCTGCCTGTTTCTCCATTGGTGAAGGTGTCCTCAGCACTGGGCTGGTGCATATAGTATCAAAATCAGCTTCTATTTCCCTCTCAAAAGAGTCCTCCAAAGCTCTTTCATACTGACGAAAGAACATTGGTAAAGTAGTCTGTTGATTCACATAACCATCAAAAAATGAGCTCTCCAATCCCTGGCTGGGGGATATGTCTGCAAAGAAAGAGTCTCGAAAATAAACTGGTACCCATTGTGTGCGAGCATTATATATTGACTGAAGCCAATCATTTCTCTGAAGATCATATTTATCAAGGATTGACGCCCAAAATGATTCGAATTCCTCAATTGTCTCAGTAGAGTTGATACAGTTATACAGGTCCACCTGAAAATTAGGATGTGCAATACATGCGTGAGCCATTCTTTCTTGGCCTTCTCTTAACACATGCCACTTGCTTATACAATGGCGGGCTTCAGGAAACACCTGTGAAATGGCTATTTGTATGACTCTGTCTTGATCAGTGGTTATGGAAACAGGGGAACGGTCATTCATGGCAGCTCGAAATGTCTTAAAAAGCCATACAAATGTAGCCTCGGATTCATCTAGAAGTAGTGCACAACCAAACAAAATTGTCTGACCATGATGATTTACTCCTGTGAATGGGGCAAATGGTACTTTATATTTATGAATTCTATACATTGTGTCCAGTATAACACCGTCACCAAAATGACTGTATGCTGTTCTTGATCTAGCATCTGCCCAAAATGCATTAGCCATGCAGTTGTCTTCATCAAGTTGTATGGCATAGTAAAACCCTGGGTTCTCGGCCTGCATTTTTTTAAAATAATCCAGGAGGTTCTGAGCATCTCTACCTAAAGACCTTTTTTGACCGGGATGTCCAGTACTATAGCACAATGAACCAGTGCTCTTGACCGTACGATTTGATTCTGAAGGAGCCATATTCTTACCTCCACGGCTGATTTCTGCTGAAACATGGTTTCCATCTACTGAAACATACATAACGCCACTGGGAACTATATTCACACCTTGGTGACTTTCTGCCACCTTATTTTTGGTGGCAGCAAAATGTCTCCGTGTTTTGAGATGATTCACCGCACCGGGACTCACAGTAGAGTGACTATGTTCCTTCACCACTTTTGTCACAACCCATTTGTCATGATCCCTTGACTCTATTTTAAGCATTGCAGCGCATGTATCACCAGACCTTCTTTTTAACCCACCTCTGGAACATAAGAACTCGCGGTATGTAACCATCCTATTGGTCTTTGACCGACCATTCTGGCTGACACGGGAGCTAAACCCCAGGCGTCTGGCATAGTCATCATAAAACGTCTTGGCAGCATGCTCGGATTCAAATTCCATTCCCACATGTGGCTCGGGAAATATCCCAACCCCATCCTGGTCTATAGAGTCTCCGTAAGCATTTATGTCCCCAGCCTCATTGGATTCATCATCTCCATCTTCTGTGATGCCCCCATGTTGTCCCATGGTCCCCTCTTCAATATCTACCACTGCTACATCCATACCACAATCACAATTGCATATCAAATGTCAACGACTGTAATAATAAACACAAATGTCTAGCATTTTTCGGTTGATGGGATCATACACTCGTAAAACCTGAAAAAATTTCAACAATTCACAGATATTATTATGAGATTCTCAGGCTGAAATTCACATAATCACAGATTCCAAGCAATAACACGTAAAACCTCCCAAAAAGTTTTAAAAAAACTCCGACACTCCCCAAAACAATATCAAATTCATGAATTCCAAACAAAACCTTAATTATTTCATTTCTAGTATATTCTAAAAGCATATAGTGTATCTTTTAACTCAGAAAGCCCAAAATTACTATCTGTAATCTTCCGATCCTTTTGTAAGGTAAAGGTTTTCCCTGTAGCTATCTCAAATTTTTCAGAGTATAATCATTTCAATAGAATAGTCTCGAATTGAAGGAAATTATTCCAATACACAACTCTCGGTTAGCAGAAAAACCAAAAATGGGTCGTAGCTGCACTCAATTAAAAATCGAAACTCATTTTCATTCACTTGAGAAGAATTATGACATACTAGTCAGCTCACGAGCATAGTAATAAGAAAATAATACTAAACAGTAGTAATACATATATTAAAAATATACATACACACACGAACGTGTATAAATTATATATGCGTGTAGAGAGAGACCTGTACCGGCAATTAAAACGACGGCGTTTAACAAAATTCAATATTCTTGAAGTGGGATAAAAACGACGGCACCGGCGACATTGCAGAGGAGAGGGGAGGGAGTGTTGGGGACGAAAAGAGAGAGAGTCACGGTGTAGCATAGATTCAAAGTGACCTAAGTGGACGCTAGCACTTTAACCGTTGGATTTAGATCGGCGGCTGGTGTTGCTTTGGAGCAAACCCACCTTATGTTTTGTGGGTCCCGCGTGCATTGTAGGTGTTTTAGTGCGTTATACTTGATCTCACCACAATAAATATTATTATGACGTCAGTTATACTCTATTCAATATTCTCAAGGGAAAATTGCAGCATCGGTCCCAAACCTTTCATTTTATTGCAGATTTCACCCAAACCTTTAGTTTTTGTGGTCATAGTCCCAAACCTTTATATGTCATTGCAGTGGTGGTCCATTTCATGTATTTTGTCCAAATTGCCGTCAATCAACATGAAAAATGTTAACTTTGACTCAAATGTTCATGGGCAAAATTGTCAAAACCAACTATTCTAATACCGAAAAATTCTCGCTTCCCTCCCTTTTTATTACCCTTCCCTAATATCTATATCTCTCTCTTTAACATTTCAAAAGGCAGAGAAGCATAGTTGACAGTCTTGAAAGTGAACGTGTGTAGATGTGGAAGTCATTTCGATCGACGCGAAATTGTGTGTGGAGAAATTGGATATAAGGATTTGTGATAAGTATTGTTGTAACCTGGATCTGTAGCTAGATCCGCATTTGTGTTATTGTTATATTTTCTTGTATGTTGTCAGTAGTAAAACAAATGGTTATTTAGTATTTTAGATTTGCTATTTTGATGATTGTATTTTTCATATTTGGGAGTCCAATATTAAGTAATGAAGTACTTGGTTAACTTAATAATATGCTCAGCCAATAGTATGAATGTATAGTTTGAATTATAAATGTAGCAAATCCCGAAACTTCTGTTGATGGTGCAATATAGGTACCAGAACTTTTGTACTTGTTCTAGTATTGGTCCCAAACCTTTTGTAACTTAGCATAGGTCCCAAACTTGTGTAAAATAATTCAATATAGGTCCCAGACCTTTGTCCAAGAATGCAACATAGGTCCCAATTATTGACGTCTGAACACAGTTATGATGACCATAATTTTGTTTGGTTTCTGTATAAAAACACCAGATTATGCATAAAAAATGGAATAGAAGCTATTAACATTGCAATATATACAAAAATAATTTTTATTAGCAACAAAATTATATTTTCAGCCAATTCCCAAAAACTACATGCATTTTGACCATCACTCTTGGAAGTTGGAACACTTGGAATATCCTTAATACAGTATCAAACACCAAACAAAACCACATTGACATTACATTAGTTTTTCAGCCATTCTTAAAAAATAAACAAGAAATTTATCAATACTGAATAGGGAAGATTTTGTTTGGTAGTTGGTTTTGACAATTTTGCTCATGAAGTAAATGTCCCATTTGAGTGAAAAAATAGATTTTCCTGTCGACGGACGACAATTTGGATGGAATGCGTGGAATTAATTGTTCCAATGGTCATTAAACTTAGGCGCATGTCTTTTATTGGTCACTGAAATTTAAAATGTCAAGATTTTATCAATGCACTTAGGTTCATGTTTTCGATTACTCATCGAAGTTTAAAATGTCGAGTTTTGACAACTAAACTTTGGAAAATGTCATACGTTACTCATTGACATAAATGTTGAACTTTGAAAAATATCGAATTTACCGTGAATAATATACAATATTTTTCAAAGTTCAATAGTCAAAACTCGACATTTTAAATTTTATTGAACAATCGAAGATATGAACCCAAGTTCAGTGATCAAAACTTGACATTTGAAACTTCAATGACCAATCAAAGACATGGATTGATGCACTAAAAATAGCGTATAAATAAAATTCCTTACTCAAACTATTATTCGTCGTCGTGTATGATGGAAAGTAAGGGTCACTTCCCGCAGAGGATCGATTCAAGTTAAATAATTACTTTGCTATGTTAGTACCTAAATGGGGGAGTTCGATTGTTCTTAATTTAAATACAGAGAAAAAAATAGATTCACTCAAAGAAAAAAATATTGCATGAATTAATTCAGGTTATACAAAAATCCAAGAGTCAAATGTGATTAAGGGAATTTTCTTCCCCATTGACATGATTTCCTTAATTAATTTCGCAAAAACAGGTTTGTACCCCTTTTGAAAATGTCAATTCGGAGACAATTACAAATTCAACTATCTCTTTCTTTTCTTACTTATTTATTGAATGAAACAAGTTCTTTACCCAAAACTTTTTTGTACCAAACAACCTAGAACATGCTCTCTAAGTTTAATTCTATCAAAAGCATTCAATCGAAAGAGGCAAGAATTGAATCAAGCGCAAATACACAAGCTCGGTTTACTATCTTGAGTGATAATCCATATACAATCAAATAAAAATATCCCATAATTTTTTGATGTGCAATCGCTACTTGTATTTGGAGAAATTTAGCATTTACAGACTAAAATCTCTAAATTAGCATGAATTGAACCAACCTAGTCACTTAGTTGTACACCTAAATAATCAAGAAGGCCAAACTAACAATTCAATCAATGGATTAAACACATAATCAAAAGGAATAAAGAAATGTCTACACTTTATTCACTGGAAATCATGTCTCGAGTTTAGAATTCCCTTAATCAACAAAATAGTTTAGTTTCCTATGAAACACAAACTAAACAAAATAAAATCCATACAGGAAATATCAAAAAGGGGAAGAAAGGAAGCTTAATGGAGGTAATTAATGCTGGTTCCCGCTGTTATGGAATTATTGACTTGCTCTGCACTTTCTTTTTCCTCCTGTCTTCTACTAGTCCTCCTTTTTAAAATTCCTGTGATGTCCATTTTCTTCTTTTATTTCTTTTGGGATTTTTCTGTTTTCTTTTAATTAGGGCTGGGCAAATCTCCCGAACCGAACCCGATGGTTCTTGTCAAATTAAATATCTGAACGGGTATCTCAATTGAGAATCGACGGGTACGGTTCGGTTCTCGGTTCTAGACCAAGAATCGAAGAACCGAATATTTCTAATTTTTTTTATATTGAATAAATCAAATTATTTTAATTTTAATTTTTTCTAAACAAATTAACAATTTTTAAATTCAAATTTTTGGCACAATAATTTGTTTCGTTTCTAATTTTTTTAATTTTTTGCCCAATTATCCATTTTATTGTTTCATTTCTTAGCCCAACAAGTCCAACCCACTAAATAACAACTAAAGTGCATAACGTTGTCTCGACTCTCGTACTCACTCTCGCAGCCTCCCTCACATTCCAAAACTCATACAATCACCGGTCGACGTCGTGACCTCCGATCGAAGCTGTGACCTCCGTCGATCGAAACTTTGACCGTAGCGATCATTTGAACAAGGTAATTTATTAGTCTATGACATTCCAAAACCATTGAATGTGTCATTAGTTGTATTTATATAATGTTATTATAAATGTTAAAAAATTTAATTATAGTACGGAACCGAATCGAACCAAACTGAATCCGAACGGTTCCATAATTATATTTGGACCCGACGGTTCTATTTACTAGATACCCGAAAATTTTGGTTCAAGAACTGAATCGAACCGACTCACGCCTACCTCTACTTTTAATGATAAGAGTCCTCTGACTTGCAACCTTCTTTTCTTGTTTTTAATGATAGAGTTCTCAGATTTTAAATCTTCTTGTGATCCTTGAGTCCTAAATGTATTGAACAAAAGGGTCCAATTCGAAGGAAAATTTGTTGCTTCTCGATCGGGTTCAAAAGGAGACTCCAATTATTTCCAAATTGCTCATTTTTAACTCCTATTTGTTGCTTTTCTCCTAAATTCCTACAAAATATAAAAGGAAGCTAATAAAGAACAATAATGAGAGAATTTGATAAAATAATGAGGAAACATAATATGATTACATTGAAAAATCAACACTTCTCATGGACCTAACCTCAGTGACTATTGAAACAATTAACTTGAATGTGTGAAATGGACCACCGCTGCAATTACATATAAAGTTTTGGGACTGCAGCAGCAAAAAATACTTGTTTGGGTGTAATCTGCAGCAAAATGAAAGATTTAGGACCGACGCTGAAATTTTCCCATTCTCAGTACTAAGACAAGGAAAAATTGCAACAGAGGTTCCAAACCTTTCATTTTACTGCAGATTATACTCTAACTTTTTATTTTTGCGATAGCAGTCCCAAACCCTTATATTTAACTACAATCGTAGTCTAAATCACTGATTCCGTCCATAATGTCGTTAGTCAACAGAGAACTTGTAATTTTGACTCAAATGAACATATTAAATGAAGGGCAAAATGATATATTTACAAGTTCCATAAACAATTAAATAAAAAATGAAAGAAAAAATAAAATCCATCTTCTTTCCAAATCGATCCCAAAATCACCACACCCCCACCCCAACAAAAACCGACCACCACCGCCACCGCTATCACTACTACCACCATCACCATCACCACCTCTTCCAAGGATGATGTAGAAAATGAAAATAAACTTAAAAAAAATTGCAAAAACACACTAAAAAAATTCACATCAAATATAAGGTGAAAGGATGGAAAAAAGAAGAAATCAATCTAGTTCAAATTGTTACCAACTTTTCCATTCTATCCATTAAAATGTGACACAACCGCTTATGTCACAACATAGAGGATGATTCATGGATTAGAGCTCTTTTCTTTGATACATTGGTAACACAACGAGCTCTTCTTTCCTCTGCTTTGTTTGAACAAGTTTTGGAAGGCTGACAGTTCGTCGGGTGCTATAGAACCGTGGTAGGAACTTAGGATCTATTTTAGGTGGTGACAGCTGACCTTAGGGTCTATATCCACCAAGTCCTCATGCCTTCAAGCAAAGACGTCAATGTTTTTGCAAAGAAAGTCTTTCAATTTTTCTTTCATGTTGTTGCCCAATTAGTCTCTAATCTTTTATTTTGTGTCATTTTAAGCTATGTCCATCTCATTGTGCTAAATTACTAAAAACTGATGTGGCTAATGGAAAATATTTATGTAATGTGCGAGTTGAGGTCTTTAACCATCAATTGCCGCGACTCGCGTCGATGCCAAATCGCATTTGGGCCAGCAGCGAGCAGGCCGCCCTTATCCATTTATTTATTGAATTTCCTCCTTTTATTAGCTTCAAAAAATACTAATAAAACCCATAATTTTCAAGTCCAAATTCAACTCATATTTCCAAGAATTTGAAGGGTTTGCAGAATCCACAGGAAAGAGCATAAAGTTTGAATCTTTACAAAGATCTAAGGTGATTTTTAGTGGAAACACACCAAGTTTTAGTGAAGAAAGAAATTGAGATTTTTCACCTGAGGTCATAATATTAGATGATGGTGCTTGAGTATTTGGTATACTTCAATCCTAACTTCCACATTGATGGTGCTTGAGTATTTGGTATACTTCAATCCTAACTTCCACATATGTTTGGATTGCAAACCACGAAAACCCATCAAGAATTTGGCAACAGCTCAGCGAACGGATTTCAGAAGGAATAGAATTCCTAAATCCACAAGGGGGGAACATATTTTTGGATTGCAAACCACGAAAACCCATCAAGAATTTGGCAACAGCTCAGCGAACGGATTTCAGAAGGAATAGAATTCCTAAATCCACAAGGGGGGAACATATTTGTTGCTTTTGAAGTTTTAATGGGCTAGGGTTTAATTGCACCCATCAACAAGCATACAGAAAGTCTTAATTTTCAACTTTGGTTGGGGAGGTGATGGAGGGAGAAGTGGTGGCGCCGATGGCGGTGGTAATGATTGCTGTAGCGGTGGTGGTCAGTTTTGGTTGGGGTGGGGTCATTTGGGGCTGGGTTTGAGGAGACGATTTTATTTTTTTCTTCATTTTCTGTGTTTAATTATTTGTGTTATTGAAATTGTAAATATACCATTTTACCCCTTCTTTGATTTGTCTATTTGAGTCAAAATTACAATTTTATTGTTGACTAACGGCATTAGAGACGTAATCATTGATTTGGGCCACAGCTGCAGTTAAATATAAAGGTTTGGGATTACAGTCGCAAAAATAAAATATTAAGGTATAATTTGCAGTAAAATGAAAGATTTGGGGGACCTTTGCTGCAATTTTCTCTAAACAAGTATTGATTTCAATCAAGTTGCATTATGATTTCGATCAAGTTGCATTAACCTTGACATTCTTATGAGGTGGCATTTTTTACACATTGATCTTCACAACACTTTAAACAATTAATAATACAGAATGATTTATTATTATTTTTTTTTTGTTTTTTTTGGGTGAAAAATGAGGTTCAAATAGGGGCTCAAATAAAAATCAAAATTTTAATAGATTTTGATAAAATATTATGCCCACGTTTGGCAACCATTATTTGAAAACTATTCAAATTTTTTACATACTCATTTTCAATTACACATTTATACAATAAAATATTTTGTGTGTTAGGAAAGAGCATAAAGTTAGAATCTTTACAAAGATCTAAGGTGATTTTTAGTGGAAACACACCAAGTTTTAGTGAAGAAAGAAATTGAGATTTTTCACCTGAGGTCATAATATTAGATGATGGTGCTTGAGTATTTGGTATACTTCAATCCTAACTTCCACATATGTTTGAATTGCAAACCACGAAAACCCATCAAGAATTTGGCAACAGCTCAGTGAACGGATTTCAGAAGGACTAGAATTCCTAAATCACAAGGGGGGAACATATTGGTTGCTTTTGAAGTTTTAATGGGCTAGGGTTTAATTGCACCCATCAACAAGCATACAGAAAGTCTTAATTTTCAACTTTGGTTGGGGAGGTGATGGAGGGAGAGGTGGTGGCGCCGATGGCGGTGGTAATGATTGCTGTAGCGGTGGTGGTCAGTTTTGGTTGGGGTGGGGTCAGTTGGGGCTGGGTTTGAGGAGACGATTTTATTTTTTTCTTCATTTTCTGTGTTTAATTATTTGTGTTATTGAAATTGTAAATATACCATTTTACCCCTTCTTTGATTTGTCTATTTGAGTCAAAATTACAATTTTATTGTTGACTAACGGCATTAGAGACGTAATCATTGATTTGGGCCACAGCTGCAGTTAAATATAAAGGTTTGGGATTACAGTCGCAAAAATAAAATATTAAGGTATAATTTGCAGTAAAATGAAAGATTTGGGGGACCTTTGCTGCAATTTTCTCTAAACAAGTATTGATTTCAATCAAGTTGCATTATGATTTCGATCAAGTTGCATTAACCTTGACATTCTTATGAGGTGGCATTTTTTACACATTGATCTTCACAACACTTTAAACAATTAATAATACAGAATGATTTATTATTATTTTTTTTTGTTTTTTTTGGGTGAAAAATGAGGTTCAAATAGGGGCTCAAATAAAAATCAAAATTTTAATAGATTTTGATAAAATATTATGCCAACGTTTGGCAACCATTATTTGAAAACTATTCAAATTTTTTACATACTCATTTTCAATTACACATTTATACAATAAAATATTTTGTGTGTAAATTCAAAATTGTTTTCCTTACTTTCTAATCATACATTCTCCTAAAAATTATTATTTACAAAATTATTATTTTCAACTAATGATTGTCAAACAGAAACTGTGTGGTTGAGCTGGTGAAATGTGTTATTAAAATTAGTATTTGACTTTGACTTAAATTTTAATCAATTTATTTTTAACTAAATCAAACATAGTTTAAAAACTTTATTTATCTTGCATAATGTCTTCTGATAAAATTAAAATTTCTCTATTTTCCCTATAACAATAACTTAGCCTTGTTTGACCTCAATTCTTAAAAATAATAATAATAATAAAAAAATTCTCAAATTACTTTTAATCATACATTATATATATATATATATTCACCACGAATTTTAGCCCCAGTTGGATTTGGATTAAAATTAGATTTTTGGTAGATTTTAATAAAAATTGGTTGAAAGTTGATAAAAGTTGTGAATTTCAAAAAATGTGTAATAAAAAAAATTGCGATTAATTCATAAAAAGAAAAAAAAAAAAAAAACCTTTTATCACGGATTTCCTTCCTTTTAGTGACACTAATGCTAATATGTAAATGTAGTCTTAAGACAACATTCACGAAACAAGGACATTAGTTGATGGCTCAAATACGAGCGTCCAAGACTCTGGCCCACCACTTTTTACTTCCCACAGTTTCAAATAGATATAGAAACTTTGAAGCTCAGCCGCCACCAAACCCTATTCCACTCTCAGTAAACTCTTGGCAGGCATTTCAGTACTCAGTAAAATCAATCTTTTGCTTCAGGTATCCACTCCCTCTCCCCCCCACGACTCGGCCCATATGCGACCGGGACTTAAGTTACTTATTTTGTCATAGGTGTCCATGCAATGATGGACGGTAAGTTAAAATTATCAATTTTGGACAGCAAATCTTAACTTCAGTTTAAAGGCTCTTTCAAAATGTACTAGCTTTTTTTGACAGCATGAGTTGAGCTTCTTTTATGGTGAGGTAGGTGGATGGGTACGTCCACTTTATAGTGCGAATCTCACGAAATATGCATTAAAAATTGTAAATTTAAGATCAAAAAATATAGTGCAAACATAAGCTAAATTTACTTTTAAGTTACTTGAGAAAAACCATCCATGTTTTGGACAATGGGCTGTTTAATAGTATCAAGATGTCACTTGGACTAGAGATCAAGTTGTTTCTAGTGTACTAGATTTATGTTGCAATTTGATGTTGGGAGAGAGATTTTAACTTGTAGAACGAATTTTATGTTGTCTTCTTAAATTAAATTCAGTCTTAGAGTTCGGAATCTTGAGCAAACATCTCTGCAAATGGTACGATTTTCTTTAACCACACATTATCAGAATAAAATAAATTTTATCTAATGAAACTTTTTAACGTGTTTATATTTAAGATTAAAGTGGACTTTTGGCTTATAAAGCAGATATTTTAATCGGAAACAAAGAATACAATTTTCAAAAGAGGACTATTTTGCTGTAATTACCTAACCAATTTCTCCATTCATAATAACTGATTATTTATTGAGAAAAATTAACATTTTAATTGAGTAAAACATACATTTTTCGTCAACTGATCAGATCAAGGAACTGGATCCGTATTATTCTTAGCATCTTCATATTTGATGGAGTCACCAAGAAAAATGAAACTGTTTTACCACAATTTTGGACTATAAATTATAATTATAATTTTAATGCATTCTTCATCTGTCTCTTAATTGAGCTATTAGTTGCTGGACCAGTTATTAGTATAAAGTGGTACGTATAGTCCTTGAATCACTCAATGAATTTTGTTTATCATGTTATTTCATGATAAATGTCATTTTTCGACGAACATTATATTTTTGACATTATTCACATCGTTGTGACATTAATTGCTCTATTCATCCTTGACTATATGTTTTGCTAATTTTAATCATTTGGAATTCCTTTCGTCATCAACATTCTCGCTGCTTGATCGATATAGTGTAAGTATTGTCATTTTGAATCATCGAATGGATTTATTGAGGTTTTAAGTTTTATTTTTGTAAAAAATATTTAGGCGGTGCTTTTAAATTTTATAACACGTGGGTTCTACAGAAGACATGGATAATAAGTGAGTAATAAGTTGTACATTCTAAAAATTTTTTGTGGATGAAAAGCGAGTTCGACTAACTTGGATTAAAATTTATACTTTGCCAAACATACAGTAAAAATATAGAAAATTAAACATTTGTCGATCAACATTTGACAGTGCTCTTACCATGCCGGTTCTCTTATCTGGAGAGGCTAATATATCTCGACCTCATTCGCTAAAAATTTCAAGCGATGAAGCTAATAAAACACAACCCGAGACGCAAAAAACTGTAGATCGTACTTTATATGAATTAATTCAATCCGACACGATCCGACCTAACAGGTTTTACAGCTATGAACTCCACATTCATATTTATCTATTGGACGACAATCAGATCAAATCGAATCAATCCATATTTAATTATTTCTTATGGAAAAAAGAAAAGGGCATCTCTATATCTAACATTATCCCGAAGGAGAGGCTATCAAACGATGGGCCATCAAATTAATATATATGAATATGGCCCAGATTTGTGAAAGAAATCCCTAATTTACATTAGCTTTTCCAAATGAAACACTATCCATCAAATTGATGACAAAATCTTCTTCGATCCCTTTCACTAGATACAAAGGTACCCCATAACCTTGTTTGTTTGAATCAGACATAAAGTAGCAAGTGAGAAGCCCAGCAGCAGTCAAAGATTTGCAGCTATGGAAGTTGATCCAGTGCCGGCCCCTATAAGGTCAGCATTTTCTTCTCCTGCATTTGATATACTTTGGAAATTAGCGTGGCATGGCGAGGAGTGACGCGACGCAGCGCAGCAGCCTAATATGTTTTTATAACACCTTTTATTGAAATAAATTGTAGATGAGTTAATCTCCTTGTACAGAGTAGATTGTTGGGGAGAATACAAGGGTGACAGGTGGCGCATGTGCATTAGTTGGGATAAAAGCATTTTGAGCCATGTTTGGGTACCAGGTAGGGAACCCTACAGAACATACACAAACATGGTTCATGGGTGGGGTGGGAAAATTTGGGATCATTTTTTAATGAGACGAGACCCACCTCATGTGATGGATTTGGAGACTTGTGAAAATGGTTATGTACATCCATCAAACCTCAAGTATTTTTTGTCAACAATCCTGTCCTTATCCCTACCAGGAAACACACACAGTGTGGGCCGCTGCAGTTTTTGTTAATTACATGTGGGGCCCACCTGCTACATGGACCTGGCAGGTCCTTATGAAATTAATCCCTGTCCTCCGGGTTACATGGACCTGGCAAGTCCTTATAAAATTAATCCCTGTCCTCCGGGATTAATTCTTTCGTCAAAGGTCTAATGACTGCTTGTTACCTGTCCCCTTGGAATGTAGTCTGGCAATTCTTCCAGTACATGTATCAGGGTTGGTTGCCTTTAATATGCTAATATGATTAGGTTCCACACATTGAAGAGTTCTTTTATAAATTTCTTGATATGTCTTGTAATTGATAGATATGCACTAGTTACCGGTGCGAACAAGGGCATTGGGTTGGAGACTGTCCGGCAGCTTGCACTCGCAGGCTTGACCGTTGTTCTTACAGCCCGAGACGAGAACCGGGGTAGAGCAGCCACATCACTGCTTCAGGAATCAGGTTTATCAAATGTAGTCTTTCATCAGCTTGATGTTCAAGACAGAAAGAGCATAGAATCATTGGCCAACTTCATAAAAACACAATTTGGAAGTCTTGATGTTTTGGTAAAACATCAATGCTTTTGTTTTATACTTCATTTTCTTCTTTTTATACCACATTGATGATTTAATTTCTTCAGGTAAACAATGCTGGAGCTTCTGGAGTTTTAGTTGATGAAGATGGCCTCAGGGCCCTAAATATAGACCCTGCAACTTGGGTAAGATTTTATGGTACTTCAGTCGATCCAGCTTTGTTATCGGCCTCCTCCACCTTTCGAAGACTTTGACTTAAATAAGTGTTTGTTTGGTAGGGATTTTGTTAATTGATTTTTTGACTGTTAGAGATAAAATGGGTCTTATCAGTGAAAGAAGAATTCAAAAATGACGGTTGTAATAGTGAAATAACGGTCAAAAAATTGATTTTAATTAGATTTTAAACTGTACCAAATATGCTCTAAATATGTTACTCTCTAACAAGTTCAGCGTTTAAATGTGATTGATGAACATAGTATTGAAGTAGGCAAATGTTGTGATTTCAAGTTTCGTTGCTGGCTAAAAACATTATGCATGTGAGACATTTGATGAAAAAATTTGACGTGTTTTGTATTGATTGAAATCTAAGTATTAATCTAAATCAAAGTTAACTATTATTTTTAATAATATATTTCACGGATTCCTTGACTTTTTTACTTATATTAAAATTTATTAAAAATCTGATTTTAATCCTCACCAAATAGGGGCAAAATCATAATAAATTTGAATTTTTTTCTCATTTCTCTCTCTATCTTACTCTCTCCTTTACACTTTTTACCAAAGCCTTAACCCTTTTAATTTTTTAAAACTTGTCTATAATTTTCTACAAATTATCATGTTTACTACAAATTTTCACTTTCCAATCAATTAAAATCTAAATTCGCATTTTGTTCTATCCTATTTGTGTATATAGAATACGTTTGTATTGATTATATCTAATTTAACTTATATTTAATAAATTATGTGTAGTTGATTGATTATTAGTATTGAATATTGGTTATAGATTTTTTTCTTTCGATTACTTGAATTGATTGTTTGTATCAAAAACACTATAAATTTTTTAAACGTGAATACTCAATTTCCCGTGATGAGCAAAATGTTAATAAAATGATTGTTCGAAATCAAATGAATGAAAATGATTAGAAAAATATTAATGAAGAATTTTAAAAAAATATATAAATCTACATTTTCTCGGGTCAAGTATGAATCATTAAAAAATCAAGAATAAAGTATTCTATTTGTATAGAGTTTGATTGTGCCATCCTATCTCAAAATGTCTCGGTCTGCCCCTGACGAGATGCGAGCCCAAATTTTCTGCCTTCCATGTTGATCCAGCCATTCTCATCTAAAAGAACTGTCAAGCACGAGACACATTTATTTCTTTGGCTTTACTCTACAACAACCTGCATATGTTTCTTTGTTTTTGTTTTTTTTGTTTTTTGTTGGGGGGGGGGGGGGGTGGCGAATGATTTATGCTGATTGTTTACAATTTACATGTTCGGAAAGCTAAATTAGGATGAAGAAAAAACAATAATATGGGAGGTTTCAGGGCGAGGAATAATGGTATAAGAGCCACATTAAACAATCGACATAAGTCAATTGGACTTGCAACTTAATCTATTTACCCCTACGAGAGAACTGATGACACCACAATGACTCGATATTTCCTTTCTATTAATTTTAGAAATAATGATATCTATAATGAACGACTATTGTAGTCATCCTATATGATATATTATCTAATCGCTTGATCATCCATAGTAAGCACTAGCAGATTTACAAAAAATAAAAAAACATAAAAATGAGACGATGTCTAACACTTATTTAGCAGCCGAAAACAAAGATCAATCACGATTCCAAGAACAAAAAAGTGATCGCAATAACTTGATATTTATCAGAATCGTCAACGTAAAAAGACTAGATTTTTGATCGTACTGAAGTGGCCGAGTTTTGATGAGTCGTTTCCTATGGAGACATGTCTGTTGAAATTATGCTAATATGTGTTATGTTTCACATTCATTAGATTTTTATTTTTCAATGAATTAGTACTTGATGATATTTTGATCGTACAAAATTAACAGGTCCTTTCCAATCAACATTGGACCTTGCTTTTTCTACAGGGAGGGTTTGACACCTTTCCTGACAGAACAGACTCATAGGGGGAGGGGGAGCAATTTTTTATCATTTTTTTCACTCGGGTTCCACGTGAATGTGAGAATCTGTCAAGAAGGTGGTAAACCATTTTTCTGTACAAATGGTATTTTCCATCAATATTAGGCAAAATATTTCAACCTTTCAGTGCCTGCGAGGCTGCCCAAGTGTACTCGCAGATTCTTCTCTGAAAATTGGGAGTTAGATCATCTCCAACCCTACACCAAATTTTGCACCAAATTAAAATTCATCTCCAATCATTACATCAAAAGTTACACCAAATAAATAGTGTTTAACCATTTTCTTCTCTTTTTTCATTCTTTATAATTTATTTATTTGAAATATTATTTATTTAATTATTTTATAAATACATAAATTACTAAATAAATAATTACATTAAATTACGGAAAAGATTAAATTCATTAATAAATATAAAAACACACGGAACAATTAATAAAAACACTACAACAACGAAAATATGAAATCAAATTAGATTATCGTACGTATGTCGTTGTTTAATATATTTCGTGTTAATTTTAATAAATAATCGTGTTTATTATATTTTAAATTGTTTTCATTTTTTAATTAATTTATTAATTATTATGTCTTACATTTAAAATTTATTTTAAATGCAAATAATTTTAATATTAATATTACTAAAAAAAAATTATTGTATTGAAAAATATATAGCACAAATAACATAAATACCCTTAACAAATTTATTTGAGAAATATTAAATAAGGACAAAAGCGATATTTTACACTTTGCACCATTTCACACCAAAATAATGCAAAGTTTGGTGCTGTATTGAAGCAATTTTGCACCAAAAAATGGTGCAATCATTGGAGATGTCCTTAGGACAAAATTTTACATTGATCATAAGGGTGACAGAGGAATAATATCATTCGAGCCTTTTTTTTTTTTTATGTTTTTCTAGGAGGTTTGAAGAAAACTGTAATCAAAAGTATTTTTCTAATCCTTCATTCTTGTAAAGAAGAGCGTTAATTTTTCCCCCCTTTTTGTAGGGATCATGAGATTGGAATTAGCTATAATAAGAATACTTGATATAAATAACTCACTTCTTGGCCTTTGACCTTTTCAGTCACTATGAACACCTTCGATCGGTGCAATGGGATATGTTTATTTATCTGGACTTGTCGTCGATATAGACTCACATTTTATAATGATGATTGAATAGCTTTGAATTGTATAGAAGGAAGAAAAAATTGGAATGAATCCGGTAGATAAGCATGTTGACTCATGACATATACGATATACCTTGTCAGGTTGCTTCGAAACCTAACAATTTGACTCACATTTGAACGCTAATAATGCAATTCCATTTGTTCAATGTTAATAATAATAATTTAAATGTTAATAAACGTTTTGTAGTAAATGGAAGTAAAGTAAATTGCTATCAGTCTATCACCAAGTACAGCTTCAACGCAACCGAACCAAAGTACAATATGCAAAGAACCAAGTACTACATGTCGAAGCTGTAGTATTAATGAGTCTCTAAGTTACATGACGTAACCAGGGTCACACGGGTGTTCCCGAGTATAGTTAATAATTGAGTTTAATTCTTGCATTTATCAACCTTAGCATCTCAGATAGTGGAATTTCTATACATTTTTTCGAATCTTTATAATTACGTTGACTAAAGTTTCATCACTGTCTAACTAAGTATTATCGTTGAGCTGCTAAACATGGACATCTATTCTCGAGTTTTGCATACTAAAGAGTTAATTTTTAACTCGATGGACGACCTAATACCTTAAATGACGACTTGGCTAGATGAAATTTGGAAGTTTAAGTGCTTGAAATATGTCTATTAATTACTAAAAAATGACTTAAATAAAATGTTTTTCATATAACAAACAAAAACGAATAATGTCACTATGACAGGTTACTTTAGATATGATCGTACATCCAATGAACAAAAATGTTACATGTATCTTCCTTTATTTGTCAGGTCTTGACCATTTTTAGACACAATATACTAATAAATCATTACTATACTAACACAATTCTCATAATTAAAAATTTCATTAACAATATCTCTCTCTTTCTAAATATGATTAATAAGAGCTCGTCTGTCAAAAGCTATTTCTCCAACTAAGAATTGACTTTAAACATGTTTTGATAAATTTTTGGAAGTGTTCTATTTGACTAAAAGAATTTTTGGAGAAAGTTGACTTAGATAATTTTCGCACAAAATTATTCTAAGAAACATAAGCAAAATGCATGCGAAACAGGCTCCAATATGGTTTGCTACTAATTCAAATAATTACTTAGATCTTACCTCAATTGTCAATGCAATAATAAATTCTCTATAATGTTATTTAGCACTATTAATATATCACAACATATGTCTAGAGAGCACTAAGTGTCATTAAATGAGATATATAATTAAATGAATAACATCATTTCACATTTAATTAAAAATATTACATAATACCACGTAAATTGGTTCTAACATCACTTTTGCTAAATAATATTATTGTTAAACTTAAGAAATGGTTGACTTTTTCAAAGCACAAATGAAAACTTAATTAAGAGCCCGTTTAACAATCATTATTGTAGAGAAAAGAGTTTTGAATAGTGATTTTTAGGAGAATGTGTGGTTAAAAAATAAAAAAAAATTTGTTATACGTATATAATATTTTATTACGTAAATGTGTGTTTGAAAAGGATCTTATAGTAAATCATAAATTAAAATAATGTGTGTGAAAGAGGCACTAAATCATTAGTAACTTGGAATGAATCAAAGTTATTTGTTTGGAATGAATCAAAGTTATTTGTACTTTTTGAAGTGGTATCTCTAATTAGTTTGCCCACTGAAAACTGTTTGAGCCGCATTCTTTCATAAAAATACATTCATAAACAGTGATTCAACATTATTTCAACAACATATTTTTTAATAAAATAATAATACAAGTAAATTCAAAAATTTTACTCTTTTTTAAGTACACATTTTTCATCAATCTATTATTCTAAAATACATTATTTCAAAATATCTTGGTTCAAACACACACCTAATCTTTATTCGATCATACTCTCTCCTATCTTTCTTTTTAGGTATCTATGCAATGGCGATATCCAAGAGAGGGTATGACAATGTGAGAGGAGAAAGACTAACATCCACACCTTAACTAAAACAAGAAATCATGCTAAAGGTTAGAGGAAAAACATTAGGATTAAGATATTTGTACAAACATTGACAAAAACTTCAACTAACTCTCACATGTATGCGGTTCTCATATGGATTAAATAATTCCGACATGTAGACTCCACCTTCCCATTGTGAGTGTAAGTAAAAGATTTTGTGCCAAAGTGTTAATATATGTAGTATCTTCCAAAACATTATGCATTTCTCTTGTTAAGGTGTCCAAAAATGAGGTGGTTCTCA